TTGATCTTAACCTGAAAGGGTTAACACACAAGAATACCCGAAGGTGCATACTAACTTGATAACACGTTCTTGTTTTTTTATCAATAAGAAAGTTGTTTTTTTATAATAATCCCTCTTCTCTTTTTTTATGATAATCTGGGATATCTCGGTAGTGCTTTGTTTATGGTCGTAAGCTTGACCTTGTGAACTTCATCTTGCAGCTATCATTGGTGGTGTAGTTCCCAACTTCACCACAAAGTATTGAGCATTTTCATTCAAGCTACAAGGTTAGTGCCACGATGCAACTATGGGATTTGCAATATCTATGATAAACGAAGGCATCAACAACCATCCTCTTAAAAACATTGGAGACAAGGATCAAGAGGTGGTTGTGATCCTCGTGGAAGCATGTGGCACTAAGCAAAATGTCCATGGCACAGAAGTTTTCATTCTCAAGAGATATATCATGTGGAAACAACGTTGAGCCTCGATCATTATCGAGAACAACGGTTTTATGGCCAGAGGGACATGGCTTACGTTCGAGCGAGGTTGGTGATGGATGTTCAGTTTCACTAGAAAGCCTAGGTGAAATGAACGGGGAAATGAACTTCACCTCCTCGAGACGGGTTATGGTTGGGATAATGCTCCGCCATGGGGTTTTCTAGGTGAGTGGCGAAAGAAGTTTTCACACATTCTTCAACAAGGCTCCCATGAGTAGGTTTCTTTTGGAAAAGTTTTTCAAAGGGATAGCCTATGAGAAGTTCAAAGTCGAGGATGGCAAAGATGTGAAAATCTAAGTGAACCTCGGTTTCATTAATTTCAATTGGCACATCCCTAACAATCTCACTACACTCAAAGATGAGTCCTGAGGGACTTTTGAAAAGTTTGTTGGTCAGGATTAGTGACATGTTGCCCAAAAGATTTTTCGCCAGAAATTCTGACATGATGCTAGTCCTGACTGTGGGGTTGTGCAGGGCTTCTATGTTGGTTCCCCTTAATGAACAAGGCATGATCGTGGAAGCTGAAAGAATCTGAATTGCTTCGGAAGAACATTTCACTTCCAACAACCATTTCTTCGATGGTTCTATTTTAGGCAAAACTTTCTCAGAAGGACGTGAAAGCTTTTCATGCCCATAGTATTTTGAGATTTTGCCATAATCCCTGAATTCGATAGAAAACTCTGAAGGATGAATTAATCTTTCCTTCGGTGTTTGTGGTTTGGGTGAGGGTTCATGAGTTGAATCTAAGGATGGTATAGTTTTGGATTTGACCGGTGAGGACTCCTCAACACTCGACGTAACTTTTACCTAGAGGGATTTAGTTCTTATGACAAAAGAAGAGTGTTTGTCTATGAAATGCTCAAGGAATTCTACTTGTTTCGTCATAGTCTTGTGTGTAAAACGACCTCCGGCGGTCATGTCTAGGCATAGGTTAGCACCCATGTCAGCACCCAAACAAAAGAGTCGCAACAATATGCTATTGGGTAAAGACAAGTCTGGGCCGGTGTGTATTAACATTGAAAACCTGGCCCAGGCTGCACCTATTGACTCCTTCTTGTGCTGCTCAAAGTCGAGGATTGCCTTTGGTAGAGAGTCGATACATGACATAGGAAAGAATGCAAGGTGAAAGTTGTCTTTAAGTTCATCACAGTCCCCATTCGAACTTTCTACGGCATGTGTGTACCATTGCTTCACCTTCCCGTGAGAGAGAAGGGAAACAATTTCCACTTTAGAGTTTCCTGTGTCATGCCCGGGATACTCAGGCACGAACACATCTCCTCGAACTCGTGCAAGTGATGGCAGAGGTTTTCATTATAGTGCCCCGAGAAGGGTTGTGCCCAAACCATGGCTATTAAGCCAGGGCGGAGTTCACATCCAGTTAAAAAGTTTGGTTTTGGTGGTGGCTCGGAGAACTCGCCCTTTGAAGCAGACCGGTATTGGATAGGAGTGGTTTTCATGGTGAAAATATTTTTTATGTTTTTTATAAAAAGAAAAGATACAAATATGAGGATGAACCAGGTTCGAAGAAAATACAGCAACCGTTCAACGGCAACGGCGCCAAAAATCCTTGTTGGTATTTCTTAACGCATACAGAAATAATCCGCAATCGCACGGAATTACCGTTGTCGCACTTCACCTAAAAGTATTCAGAGTATTGTATTTTTCACAGGGAACGGAGGTACTCTTCTAGCTAGTTCATCCAAGGACAACACAAGGATAGAATTAGCATAGGTTGAAATGGATTCCTATGGTTTTGGTCTAAGGATAGATAAACACGACTCCTACTTGCTCACTAAGGGCGCCGGCTTACACCTGGTCTGCCAAGCAATACCGACCTTCGCTCTACGTCGAACCCTAATGTGGGGGAGTACGAGGGACGGACAGGGCTGTCACCACCTACCGCCTACCCCTCATCCATGGGGAACGAAGCAAACGAAGATAGCTTCTAGTCTAGACACCACGTCTACGCTATCAACTATTACTCTAGCGTGCATACAAGGGTTATCCGTCTCTATCAGGGCCCTTCTACTAGAGCATCCGCCACGGGGACGGATGACGAACCCGCAAACAAGTAAGAGTATAACTTAACTAGTCAAAGACTTTATACCAAAGGAATCATGAATACTCACTTAGCAAGAAAACCCATTGAGGCACAAGTATCCATTGAGGTACAAGGCGGGGAGACACCAACAAACCCGGCTCTTCCCTGAACTCTCCCTCACATCTTTCCCTTGTAACTCTATCTAGCTACAAGGGCCTAAGCCCTTTGAAGTGTTGCTCTAACTCAAGTGAGGAGTGCTCTTCTTCCTTGTTGTGGTGTCTAGAATAAGGAGGGGGAGGCCTCCGTTTATAGTTGGAGTAAGGCGGTGTGTGCGTCTATATTTGGCGCGAAGTCTGGTCTCCACCGCCTCTGCATGGCGCCATGTGACCACCATTCAAAGGAGCGGCAGAGAGGCACTAGGGAGGGTGCAGGTGACCCCAGGGGTTGGTCGACCCCTGACCAGGCCCTCTCGCCACCGCCTTCGCGTGGTGGGCCTCTAGGGGTGTATAGGCCATGCCCGTGAAGTTTTACGCCAATTGGAGATCATTTGATTTGGGTTTGGGCTCTCTTTCTCCACATGGCTAGGCCCTGATTTGGCTTTGTAGTGGGCCTTCTCCTTCTGGGCACTTTTTGCTTTGCACAATACCGTGTCATATTTTGTTTCTTTGCGCATTTTGAATGTATTTTCCATGGATTCCATGAATGCCCTCCTGCAAATGGTTAAACATCAAAACTTGTGGAGATTGTTAGTTCTAAAACCCTATGTCTAAGCTTGGTGTTTATTTTAACAATTGTTATATGATAGTTGGCGGTTAGAAATGTGAGTTAAGCACCGCCAACAACACCGATATTAGGAGAAAGAACGAAGAGCGAGCGCTAAACTTCTCGCCAAGCTACAGCACACGACACGAGGAAAAAGCGCCTTCTTCCAACCCATTGCGAGCGGGAAGCCGACGTTTCTTTTCCCCTTCTCACCTCCCAGATCCCCTGCTCTGCTCCATCTTCCTCAGCACCAAATCAACCATGCTCCTCCCACCATGGGCGTGGTGGATGCCACGCCGGCGTCCGCTCCCGCCATGGCCATGGCTGCCGCAGCCCTCCCTCCAGACGCGCTTGGCCATAGCTATCGCGCCCACTCCCGCCATGTCTGCGGGCCGCCATCTCGACACGAGAACTCCGCCCAGGAGCAGCTCTGGTAGCTTGTCGCCCGCATCTCCGGATCCCTATCGTCGCCCCCCCCGAACCCTCTCTCGCCATATGCGCCGCCTCGTGTCCCGTCTGCTAGAGGTCACGCGCCCGCCCCGGCCATCCCCGCGTGTGCCAGGAATTCTGACCAGCCCCCGGCCATGCGTTAATTCCTTGTTTCCATGTGATTTCTTAATATTTCGAAGAGCACATATGTATGACCACAAAGATGTACATCACAGCAGATTGTATGCACATGTGATTATTAAATACTTACAATTTTACTGCAGCTAGCCAAATAGCTAAGTCATAATATGAGTTAGCTATATAGCTGGCTGTATATGACATGGCAAGTGCTTCCAGCCAGCAGCTGGCTAAATTATTTGCCCTGTTTGCTTGGCTGATAAGTCATGGCTAAAAGTACTGTTGGCTGATTTATTATGAAAGAAAAATATTGTTCGTTGACTAAAAAATACAGCTTATAAGTCAAGCAAACAGGGCAATTAGCCTTAAGTGGGCAGTCCTAGGTGAACGTTGGTGGCAAATTATGGTCACGCCAGTGGGCAGTAGTAGCCGACTAGCCGGTGAACAAAGATGTGGCAGGCTGGCAGCCCACAGAGAATACAAACAGTAAAAACAATGGAAATGGAAGGAATGGCAGGGGCCAGCAGGGAAGCCCAGGAAGGAGGCCGCGTGGGGCAGTGACGGCGGGTCTCCATTCTCCAACGCTATAAAAAGTGTGTCATGTGCTTCCCTCTCGCACCTAAATTCTCTGCGTCAGGTCATCCCAAAACACGCACCGTAGGGCGTCGTCGGGTCGGCCTCTTTCTTTGTTAGCACTCAGAAAGAGATCGGAGCGTGAGAGCTGCCACTGCCAGCCGGGATCCTGTAAAGCGCGCGGCGGAGTAACTGCCGTGCTCCCCTCTGTGGCTCTGCGCGAGTTCTGCAGTTCCGGCGGCGCTGCTCTTCGTCCCGCGCCGCCTGCCTGCCTGCATGAAAGCACCGAGGCGTGCGGCGTGCCTTCTTTTTCCATCCATCCACGCTTCCGCAGTGCAGTAAATTTCGCCGGCGCGTTGCGCAGCAGTCGCCAGCCAACGTCCCTCCCGCTATTTACTTCCCCAGCTCCGCGACAAGCTGGGCGCGCGTCGTTCCGCTTCCTTCCCGGTCTCTGCTAGGTCCTTGTGTTTTTCTGCAGCAAAACAAAACGTGCTTCCGGCGCCTCGGGTTCTGTTGCGACTGACCAGCAGTACATACGCGGCTAGCTGGGGAACGAAGCGAGGGCCGCGACGCGAGGGATGATGGTGCCGGGCGAGCAGGCGGAGGACGCCATCGTGCAGGCGGACGTCGCCAACGGCAAGGACGGGGAGGAGGTGCGCGCCATGGGCGTCGGGGGCGACGCCGACGCTGAGCAGCAGCAGCACGACGGCAAGTTCACCATGAAGAACCTGCTCTGGCACGGCGGCTCCGTCTGGGACGCCTGGTTCAGCTGCGCCTCCAACCAGGTACACCGTACGCTTGCCAATAAGACGATCCACGTTGCATGGATCGCGCCGCCCACGCGGTGCTTAGAGTAGAGGATCAACTCAACCGCCGGTGTGTTCTTGGCGTTCGTTCGCAGGTGGCGCAGGTGCTGCTGACGCTGCCGTACTCGTTCTCGCAGCTGGGCATGGTCTCCGGCGTGCTGCTGCAGATCTTCTACGGCCTCATGGGCAGCTGGACCGCCTACCTCATCAGCGTCCTCTACGTCGAGTACCGCGCCCGCAAGGAGAAGGAAGGCGTCAGCTTCAAGAACCACGTCATCCAGGTCGGTCGGTCCTCTCGCCGTCTCGGTCTCCCTCTCCCTCCCCGGCCGCCCAGCACACGCTCGCGCACGCCGCACTCCACTCGCCCGTCTCCGCAACCGTTTCAGACTTTCAGTTTCGTCTCGCCGGCTTCTCCAGCACACGGTTTCTGTGCCGCTTTTGCGCGGATGGGGTGGGGGGAATTGGATCCGCTGGCCATGGTCGGTCACGCACTCACGCCGTGCGATCGATGATGATGTGCTGTGGAATTTCCGGGCAGAGAGTGATGAGTAGTGTTGCTTGTCCAGCGGAAAGGCGCTTTGCTAATCCATTTTTTTCGCCTCTGAAGTCCGAACAATAAGCAAAACGACAACGCCATCGGCATGCACCTGTTTACATATACTCCAGTACACGCATCCAAGTATCCAACCGAACTGAACAACGAACTGATTTATTGTCTTTTTCCCCTGCCGTTGACCAGTGGTTCGAAGTTCTGGACGGGCTCCTGGGCCCGTACTGGAAGGCCGCCGGGCTCGCGTTCAACTGCACGTTCCTGCTCTTCGGCACGGTCATCCAGCTGATCGCCTGCGCAAGGTCAGTCAACAGATTTCTTCTCCCATGCATCTCTGTCAATATACATAGCACTAGTTAGCCAGTTAGTGCAAACGTGTCTCTGACGGACGGATGAACCGAACCGATCGAACTCATGGCATGGCACGCAGCAACATCTACTACATCAACGACCGGCTGGACAAGCGGACGTGGACGTACATCTTCGGCGCGTGCTGCGCCACCACCGTCTTCATCCCCTCCTTCCACAACTACCGCGTCTGGTCCTTCCTCGGCCTCGGCATGACCACCTACACCGCCTGGTACCTCACCATCGCCGCGGCCGTCCACGGCCAGGTGAGCCACCGATCCCCGTCGCTAGCTCATTCATGGCGCCAATCATTTGCCAGCCAGCACGGCCGTGATGAGCTAACAGTGATCGATTGTCCTCCGCGTGTCGGCTCTTGCGCCGGACGGACTACCGACAGGTCGACGGCGTCACCCACTCGGGCCCCAACAAGCTCGTGCCCTACTTCACCGGCGCCACCAACATCCTCTACACTTTCGGTGGCCACGCCATCACTGTGTGAGTACTCAGACGACTCTGCTGTGTTCTCAATGCGGCAACCATTACAGTCTTCGTTGTTACCTGATCGACATTTCACCAGTACAGGCAGTATTTTCTAGTGCTGGGATGATAGTCAGTAGGAAAAAAAACATTCTGGTAGATGAATCCAAGCAGAATCCCAAGTAGGAGCAGTAGAAAAAGATTCACGGTTGGTGGAAGGCACCTTTACTTTACTATCTTCAGACAATTGGTCAGACAGAAATGCAGCATACCCACTAAGGCTAAGCTCTTGTGATCAACCCCTACATTCCCCTCTTTACCCAAGGTCTAATGCTAAGTAACCATCCACCATGTATATATTTCAATATCCCTACTAGTGAACAATCCTTTATTCCCGTTGCTCATTACGTGTGCTTAGTATAACACTACCTGCTATGATGACCTTTGCCGTGTGATGATTACAGCGACATCTGATAGATAATCTGCGTTTACACACGCTGTTGATGAATTGTCCGGTTGTTATGGAGTCCTTTTACCTGCTTAAAAATCCAGCTGCTTTCTGTAGTGGTATGCAACGTATTGTTATTTCCAGAAGCTGGGCGATGTGGACTGGTTTGAATTCAGATAGTGCGGAGTTCACATCAACTGAACTAATTCCATCCTGCTGCCCCCCATGCGAGGGTGGTAAGGTCTGTATCGGATTGTGACAATACAGTACCTCATGATTCTCATTTATCCTTTATTGGTGATAACCTTTGGTTAGTGGAGAGGAAGTCAGTCTCAATGGTCTACTCTGACAATTTTTTTAACCCCAAACTTGGAATGTGAATGCTTGCTTGTCTGCCAATCTTACAGTTATTAGCAACCCTGAGTTCCGGACCCTGTCTGTGACCATCTCTGTTTGCTTTCAGAGTGATATGACAGTTTCAATTAGTGTAGTGTGATAGCATCCATCACTTGTGAATGTTAGGTGTTTAGTTTAGTCGATAATTGCTTCATTTGGCCATGTTTGTCGGGCCCTCCACTGGTAATTTGACTGGAGGCGCTCGTATCCAGCTCAATGACGTTGTTATAGTTGGAGAGATTCTTCATGTCTCGTTCTTTCTTTCAAAATATACTGACTAGGAGAAGCACTACCTTTTTCCCCAACTTGATGGCTTATCGTTCAATCAACATAAAAGTCGCTCATAAATGATTTGCACGCCGCATGTGTGGAAAAGGGCGTTTAGTACGTTAATTCCAAGTACCGATTCTCACTTTATAATGCTACCAGATCATGTTCTGATATCTTTGTATAATGAAGAGTACTTGCGGCTTTAGAAAACAGTTTTGCCACAGCACACAGCATGTTGCTCTCTGATGCGGATGTAAAGAATCTCTTTCTTTCTCAGGGAGATCATGCACGCGATGTGGAAGCCTCGCAAGTTCAAGTACATCTACCTGCTGGCGACGCTGTACGTGTTCACGCTGACGCTGCCATCGGCGGCGGCCATGTACTGGGCGTTCGGCGACCAGCTGCTGACGCACTCCAACGCCTTCTCGCTGCTGCCGCGGACGCCGTGGCGCGACGCGGCGGTGGTCCTGATGCTGATCCACCAGTTCATCACGTTCGGGTTCGCGTGCACCCCGCTCTACTTCGTGTGGGAGAAGGCGGTGGGCATGCACGAGACGTCGAGCGTCTTCCTCCGCGCGCTGGTCCGCCTCCCCATCGTCGTCCCCGTCTGGTTCCTCGCCATCATCTTCCCCTTCTTCGGGCCCATCAACTCCGCCGTCGGCGCGCTCCTCGTCAGCTTTACCGTCTACATCATCCCCGCCCTCGCCCACATGCTCACGTACCGCTCGGCGTCCGCCAGATTGGTAAGCGTGCCCGTGCCCCCGACTCATCACTTCGTTCGTATTCATACACGCTATATATAATGCTCCTGTTGTCATGGCATGCGGCTGAGGTGTGCGCGCCATGCTAGCTGCCACTAGTAGACGAAAGAAGAAAGGGAGAAACCCACGCAAGCATGACGCTAGTGCCACACGCACAGGGCCGCTGACGCCGAGGACGCGCTGCCAGCCCGGTGCGCTCGCCTGGAATCGACAAGCACAGAACACGTTCCGCACGCCGGACGGCGACGGCGTGGCCACGCGTTCCGACGCTGGTCTGCTCGGGTGCGCCCGATCGATCGATCGAGCGGCAGGGATCGCGACAGGAAGTCACTGGGGCGGCTTGGCCGGGCGGGTGGGGTGGGGCGTTGCTGTCCCTGCTTTCACAGGCCTCGCGGCGGCCGGGAACCTTATCACGGCTCGCCGAAAGGAGCGTGCAATTAGCAAACTTAACCCATCACTAGGAGACACAGTGCGAACGCGCACGCGGGAAGCGCCATGTCCTACAGTTTTTGCCGGGTGGATGCTAACTTTTTCATCGCTTCTTGGATGCAATGCAACAGAATGCAGCGGAGAAGCCGCCGTCCTTCCTGCCGAGCTGGTCGGGGATGTTCGTGCTGAACACGTTCGTGGTGGCGTGGGTGCTGGTGGTCGGCTTCGGCCTCGGCGGCTGGGCCAGCGTGACCAACTTCATCAAGCAGATCGACACGTTCGGGCTCTTCGCCAAGTGCTACCAGTGCCCGACGAAGCCACACGCGGCCGGGTCGCCGTTGCCAGCGCCGGCGCCGCCGCATCACTGAAGTAGCGAGCGTTTGGAGTGCCAAAGGCTGACGATCGTAAACAGGGACATTCCCGGGCGGTGCAATGCAAACCTTTCTAGGAGTGTACAACGTAGTGGAGCAGCCGAGATACCTGGACTTGCGTTTGTCGCGTGGCTTTGATACATTAGTGGGTGTCAGTGTCACTTCCTTTGTGTTGGTTGTTTGCACATGGTTGTTTTAGGTTGTTCGGTTCATGGTACGTGCCATCTAGTACAAGACTGTCATACACAGTGGTGTCGATTCTTAACTTTTGCTTGGTTAATCGATCTTGATGACTTGATCGTCCATGGTGTTTCAAAGAAACGAGCCAGTTCAGCTCCGGTAGTAAGTCATCCACCGGTTTCAACCTCAGTCTTGTACTAGTGCAGAAGCTATTCATAATTCTAATTAATAAGACCTTATTTGGATCCACTTTTGCTTCGTTAATTGATCTTATTGACTTGATCCATGGTGTTTCAAAGACACAAGGCAATTCAGCTCATAGCAAGGTACTAAATAGCGTATAGCAGGTTGGTACCAAATTAGTGTTAAAATAGCGGATTGTGGATGGCTAGTGGGTGCTATAAGTTCTAATAACGGTACCTCATAATCACACATAAATTCAAGTTTATATATATCATGAATAATAAGTATAAATAAAAAATAACTATACTTAAAGAATGGATGTCTCACATACTTAAATTAAGAAAACAAACATAATGTATCACACACTATATATAAGTCATCACGTATCAGAGTTTACAAAGAAAAAGATTATGAAAGCTATAAAATAGTTTCTAAGACCATCATTCATTTTCATTGTCAAGCGGTAACCATATGCATACGTTATCTTGGATGGTGATCAAGGTGGGCTGTAGGGTTATTTGTTGCATACAATATTACACTATTGCGGCTGTTACGAAGAATTGGAGACCGCTAAGCGGCCCGCTACCTCAAATAGCGTCGCTAATAAGTTCCAGCCTGCTAAATCTAGTCTATTACGTCAGGGGTAAGTGGCCACTACCACTATAGCGACCGCTATGACCGCTATTTAGTACCATGTCTGGTAGTAACTGATCTATCGGTTCAACATTAGTGATTCCATTGTGTTTAAAGTATGAATGTGAATGAAATAATAGAATTGGTAGAAATTGTGTTTTTTGCATTGATATGATGAATGAATATATACATGATGAAGTGGTGTAGTGAAAGGGTGTCTTGTCCCTTTGGTGGCCATAATAATTGTATAAGATAGTTGCTAATGCCTATTCTAGTCTTGATGAGATCACTCTTGAAGATGTATCTATTTAGAGTGGCATCTTCATGAGGTGTATTTAGAGAAGCACTTGTTTCACAACACCCCCTGACCGGCCTTCCTTGAGATAAATGCGTTGAATATTCCTCTAAAACCCTCATAGGAAAAACCCGAGGAGTGTATGGATAAGCCCTTTAAAGTCATAAATACAGTGAGAAAAATAAAGAGAAAACGATATAGCATATATATTATATTATTTCTCAATTCAAACTCATATGGTACCCTTTTGGGAAAACAAAGACCATAAGCAAGCTTAAAGAACAGTAGATGTGATTTGTAAGTCATTATGTCATTGGTATCTCATTTTAAAACTCTTGTGGGAAAAAAAATTGGAGATACAACATATACTATCAAAACTCGTACAAAACTTTTCAAAAAATATGATATGTTGATATGATGTTCAACCTCCTATAAAACATAATGGAAAAATCAAGAGCAAATAATACAAAATATATTTGTTATTGTCTCATTATAAACTCATACGAGAAGACCTCGTGAGGAAACATTCATAAACGACTTTCGAGAACAATAATATGATCTGTGGATCATAATGGGAATAACCTCCCAAAAAGACCAATGGGAAAAAAATATGAGGAATAATGTATATCTTTGATATCCTTTCAAAAACCCTTTGGGGGAAAATAGAAGATGTGACATATTATATGTCTTGAATATCCTCTTTAAAAAACCTGATGGGGAAAATAAGAACATATGACTTTTTTTTGAATTGATGTTGTATCATTAAAAACATTGCAAGAAGTTGTATCACATGTGGCCGTATTTCTCCCCTTCTTATTTTGATGTGAGGGTTGAGTGGTTTTTATTAGGTACCTCCACTCTTTTTGGCAAATTAGTTGTAGGAATCGGATTTGGTGACACCTATATGACAAGTAAATGCTTATGGCAGATTATTTGCAATGTGATGCAAATATAAGAGTGGGTCATCCAAATTACAACTTCTAAAGCATTTTGCAAAGGTATAGTTTTCTAAATTGGGAGCATTTCTGTTTTATTGTTTAACTAAAATGAAGACTTTATAAATAGCTTAAATGTTTATTCACCAATATTATGTACTTCCTCCATTTCAAATTATAAGACGTTTTAGCTTTTTTAGATATATTGTTTTTCTATACACTTAGAGATATATACTATATACTATATCTAGATATATAATAAAATAATGTATTTAGAAAAATCAAAATATCTTATAATTTGAAACAGGGGGAGTACATTTTAGTAGGATTCTTAAGCGCTAGGTTATCTTGCCACTGAAAACATATGATTCAAATTTCAAACAGCTGGCTCTGAATTCCTGCAAGCATGTACAGTGCCTACAGAAATTCAGCTGAACACAGCCCACGCCGTACAACGGGAAGAACGGCACAGTGGTCCGTGCCCTTGTGCTTCCTAGCTTTATTTATCAAGACTTTGTAAATTCATAAATACACATCTCACTATATGATTACCAAGCCAGCATACAGAATTACAGAGGACACATGCCTCTCAAGTCGTATTTATTCGCCAGTGCCTGGGATGGCAAGCAACATGATGCCGGAACCCATCTCAACTCAACGGCATCACAAAGAATTTGGTGTACACAATTTCAGGAGTATTCGGCATGCCACACTAGTTACACCGCCTTGATTGGGGTCCTGGGGCTCGAAGGAATGCCGCCAAACCTGTTGACCAGGACCTTGAAACAAGGGAACGAAACAGCATACAGCACGACCAGTACAAATGGCGCAGCAATAAGCCAACCCAGCATCTGTTGTCAACAATAGCAGTAGTCTTATGTCAATGTCGTAGCAAAGCAAGAGTACGATAGTGCTCCTATCCTATGAATGAGCAGGACTGATTGCGGAAAGGCTGTTCACTAACCGCATGCACGATGCTCAGTAGCACATCCTTTGATGCATGACCAGTGAGAACATTCTTCAATGCGTCGGCTGTTAAGGGGAAGTGCCCACTGCCGGTGATGGTTTCCCCCAAACGCAAGAAAGGGACGATCAAGCTGCAGAAAAAGGGATAAGCAATTAGCAGAGCCAAACATATTGAAACCAGAAAGAAAGAACCTGCAGCCCGTTCGGTACGCTGGCTGGGCTGGCTGGTGCTGGGCTTATCAGCCCAGCCGTTCGGCAGCCCAGCACCAGCCAGCCCCAGCCAAACGGCTGGGCTTATATCCGTTGCGGACTCTTGTCCGTCACTTTCTCCCCTTCCTCCCGTCGCTCGCGGTGGCTAGGGTTCCCCGCTGACGCGCCGCTCCTCGCCTTCGCGCCGCGCATGTACGGGCGGTAGCCTGCGCCGCGTCAACGGCCGCCGTCGGTGGCCCCTAGATCCGGGCTCGGCCGCCTCTGTACTCCGTCCTCCTCGGCGGGGCTACGGTGAAAGTGTCGTCGTCCTCTTCCCCCACCCCGCCTCCATCGACGACGACTTCGGCCAGCGAGGTAACCCGGATCCCACGCCTCCGTCCTCTCACCTAGCCGCCTCTGAGCCGCAGCTGGTCGTCTTGTAGGTTGAGCTCCGCGCGGCTAGGGTTTCCCTCACTCTCGCCGACCTCGGTGACAGTGGGCTCGGCCTTCCTCCCCGGACCCCGCCTCCATCGACGACGACTTCGGCCAGCGAGGTAACCCGGATCCCACGCCTCCGTCCTCTCACCTGGCCGCCTCTGAGCCGCAGCTGGTCGTCTTGTAGGTTGAGCTCCGCGTGGCTAGGGTTTCCCTCACTCTCGCCGGCCTCGGTGACAGTGGGCTCGGCCATCCTCCCGGACCCGCCTCCATCAACGGCGCCTCCTTCCACCACGGTAAGCCCCCCCGAACCCGACGCCGCGCACTTTGACCCCGCCGGATCTGAGATCCAACATGTACTCATGTCTCTTTTTGATCTATTATTACCACACACTAAGTTCGATCTCTTCCCCTTGTTTTTTATACCTGCTAAGTATTCTATAGAATGCAGGTTTAAACTCCTTATCAGTACTGTGCCTCCTGTGTCACTGTGTGCTTGCAAAGTATTAGTTGAGTGCTAGAACTATTGTCTTCAGTCACTATCAGCATTCCATATGATTCCATTTCATTGAAGTGCTATTTATTTGAACAATATTCGTGCTATTTTACTATATGAGTAGGAGATAACATATATAAGTTTGTTTATATCATCATATGTTCATCATATTTCAAACTGGACCTGATTTAATGAGTTTCTTCTATACTTGTATATTGAATGCTAAGTATGGAGTGTTACATCTCTTGGTTTTCATTGCATTCAGCATTCAGTTGGTTCATCAAAGTGGTTAGTTTTTTTTGAACAATTTTTGCGTTGTCTTTAGTAGGTGAGTTAGGTGATAACTGATAACTAGAAAATCCTTTGAATGTTCATGCATTATTAATAGGTCCTATTTTTTGATATTTTATTCTAGATTTGTTACTAAAAGTCATCTGTACATGAAGAGATGCTAGGTTACTCAGATATATATCTCCGGTGCACTTGTGTTATTTGATTCTCATGCAACTAGGTGTGGAATCATTTTGCTTCCATGATCCAACTTTTACTAAGATTATGTTACACAGTAGACATGCGATGTTCTTTACCCCTTTCAATGTTTAGTTTTTCATATTAGGTTTTCATCTTACTATTGTGCTCTATGCTTGCACTGCAGACATAGAAGGGACGTTTCGTCCGGTTGTGAGCAGCGCTGCCCAAACTGGCAGCGTCGTCGGCTTCGTCTTGCTCTCCAACTGCTGGCAGGCACTACAACCTCCGCTCAAAAGGCCGAAAACGGCCGCTAAAGGCAAGTTAGGGCTACTATTTGTCATTTTGCAGTTTGCATTTTGTTTTCCGTTGTCCTTTGCAAATGTATGCTCAGCTCTCAGTTTCCAGCAGATTCTTGGTTGTGCACAGTACCAATTGATTCCTATAATCCATTTAAGGGACAAGTGTTCTAGTTATTGAGTTATTTGGTTTGCTCTATGCTGCCTACACTTTCAGGCAACTAGTAGTATCCGTGATAGAAGAAAGCATTACAAATCAATTAGTATATCTATACCAGCAGATTTTGCAACTGGTACATTACTAATAGCTTTGTCGATCCTTGAATCAGATGAGCCAGGACCGTGCTGTGTGGGAGGACAGAGCAACCTCTGTCCTTCTTGACCTCATCCTCCAGCAAAAAGAGCTTTGTCACTGGACCTCTGCCCACGGTCCAACCTCACTAGCGTGGACCAAAATCACTCATGACTTCAACCAAATCACGGACCTTGGGTACAGCAAGAAAACTTGCCAGAACAAGTACAACGAGCTGAAACGTTGTTACTTCAACTAGCGCGACGGCCAGACCCATACTAGGCTAGGCCGTGACCCGCTGACTGGAGAGGTTACAGCTGACCCCGAGTGGTACGGCGCCAGCCCCGGGGTAATAACTACACGCATTTCGTTGATTTTTTGTAGCATTTAGCTTCCTACTAACTCAGTACTAACTTCGACATCACTGCCACACGTGCAGGAAAGTAGCCAACCCGTTAGAAACAAGTATAAACGGCCCCAATGCTGTGAGCAGCTGATCACGATTTTGGGACGCACCCCACGTGACAGGGGCCAGTTGGTATCGGCGGGGGGCCATCGACCTAACAAGTCACCTAGTAATGGAAGCCCTCGCACTCCTCCAGCCTTGTCGGACGAGCCGGTTGACCCACCTAGTACTCATCAGCCCTCGAAGAGAGTCCATAGGGAATTTTCAGTGAACAGTCCTTCGCAGCAAGAATAGTAGCCAAACTCCATCTGTAGAAGAGTGCCTTGAAGACCTCGGCCAATTTCTCAAAGAGGCTAGGTCCTAGAAGGCCCGTCACAAAACCGATGCTCAGGAGTTGGCCTAAGTCCGAAACATTCTGCTACAAGATGGTATTAGCGAGGCTGATGAAGTATTCGTGCAAGCCCTGAACCTTTGCAGAGACAGGCTCAGTCGCCAGGGTTTTCTAGACATGGAATCTAAAGAGGGCCAGCTGAACTGGATCAAAGTGACGTGGGCCTTTGAGTGCTCCAACAAGTCCCACTGATCAGCACATTCCTTGTTTTTCGCCTGTTTGCGGATATCCACCATGTGCATGTTGAGTTCATTTGGGTTGTTGTATCCTTATGTTTGTTTTTTTCTTATAACCAAAGACCATTGTTGAGAACTAAGTGCATGTCGTTGTCACGTGTTTTGAATAAAAAATTAGTGTACTGCTGTGAGTGTTGTAACAAATTATGCGTGTATCACTTTTCCCATGTACATTCCAACCTGTTTTGAAGGTCCTGCCTAGTTCAAGTATCGTCACATGTTCAGTTATTTGCACTTGATTTGTTCCTAATATTGGCATTACAATCATCTTATATACGCCCAATTGCGAGTAGCGAAGATGAGCAAAGACTGACGAGTCGTCCTACAGCGACACTTCCAGTGAAGGACCGAGTAATGTGACCGTGGCAAAGGCAGCATTTGTCCTGCTGAAAGGGCTTATGTCACGGCAAAGGCCTGAGGTAAATCCTCCTTGTTCCATTCCAAAGCTAACGGGAGCCCAGTGGATGCATCTTACACTAGCTGACAATACCAGATGCTTAGAGAATTTGCGCATGTCACCTGATGCCTTCATGCATTTGCATGAAATCCTGCTGCCGTTTGGGCTGCAAGAAACAGATAAGTGCACCTCGGTAGAAGCTCTAGGCATGTACATCTGGACCTGTGCCCACCAATCGGCTAGTAGAGAGTGCAAGGATAGGTTTGAAAGGTCTTTAGATACAGTTAGCAGGAAGATCACATTAGTTGCCGAGGTAATGTATCGTTGGGCAGATATTGTTCTAGTGCCAGCAGATAGGAACTACGCACGTGTAAGCCACAAACTTGTTGCACATTCACCATGGTTTGATGGATGCATAGGTGCTATAGATGGCGCGCACATAAACGTTGAGGTTAACCGCCAAGCAAAGGCTGATTTCTACAATAGGAAAGGCGAAACAACAATTATTGTTTGTGCCATCGTTGATATGGATGGTCGTTTCACATACGTGGGGGCCGGGAAGGCGGGGGCATGTCATGACATGGCGGTGTTGAAAGACTGTCAGGACGACGCTGTTAGCTAATCTACTGCCACCTTGTGTGAACACAGCTGAGGAAGGCGGCGCCGACTTAGCCGCCTGCTGTGTGTGAACACAGCAAGGGAAGGCGGCGGCCGACTTTGCCCCCCTGTGATGTGATCGAAGCTAGCTGCTGCAGGTGCAGCGCCGCCAGACGGCTCACCCGCAAAGATCAGAGAAACAGCAAGTGGTGGCAGCAGAGTCAACCTCTCGCCAGTTATCTAGTTACTATGCAAGCATGGGCGCCGCACATGGACTAGATAGTTAGAGTTGTATAAATAGACATGTATGGCAACTCAAGAAAGAGAGCTCGATTTGTCATCACACAGACGGGACCTCGCCAATTTGTTGTCTTGTATTGTGCGTGCTTGCTCTGTTTCTCCTTCTTCTTCTAAGCTCGTCCAGTGTGTGTGTGGGTACGGACAACGCCGACACGTGATGCGCATGGCTAGTGGGTGCTCGGCAACACTAGCGCGTGCTCGGTGAGACCGTCAAGTGCTCCACTACTTTGAGCCGGTGCTCGGCAAGATCGGTGGAGTGGTTCACCGTCGTGAACCGGTGATCTGTGCGGAGACCAACGGAGTGGTGCGGAGGCCATCTCGGTGGTCGGGAGGCTAAGCGTGGGCCAACAAGTGGTATCAGAGCCGTACAAGCGCCGTTGTCATTCTAACCGATGGCGATGACAGGCGGTTCGGAGTTGGACGACGGCAGTGGCACTATCGTGGCTGCCCAGCCACTACCAAATGTAGTTGTTCGCACAGTGCGGGAGGTCAGCGGCACCACTTGGCCGACGCTGACTCACACTAACTATGGAGAGTGGTCGGTGACCATAAAGGTCAAGCTCAGAGCCCGACGGCTCTAGAATGCTGTTGACAAGGGCACCAACATGGAAGAAGACGACATGTC